CCCCCACACAGTATTTCCAGCGACTGCCCAACACACCCATGTATTTAAATTTTTTTTAATTGACCACTAGCGTGCCTCATATGGCTAATTAATGCCTCACTGATTTTCAGAAACTAATTTAGTCAATGGGTTGAGCTGGTTGTGAAATGTAACGAATACATGGAATGGCTGAGGTGGCCCTGAGGGGAGCCGTCCAACTAGATCAGTGACTTTTTGGAAAACTGAAGAAATCTCTGTTAGTTTTTATTGTGTTACTCTTAATTTTACATATATTCTAATGCCAAAATGTCTTTTTGGTCCAAGCAGATATACACTTACTCAAGGGCGTAACTTTGGGGGGGGGGGGAGGGTGGTTGAGGTCTCCACCCACTTAAGAGGGAAACATGATTGGAGGGGGCGTTACCACCAGCCCCCCAGTAATCTACGCCCATACACTTACTACTCGGATAAGTAGCTTTCGTCATTTCTTTTGACTGCCCAAGACTTTGGCTCTGCACTGTACCGATTGCTAGAGATCTACTCTTGGTTTAAAATTGAAATATAACTGCAGCAATATTGGAATAATTTGACCTGTTGTTATAATATGTGTCATAACATATTTGGATCAAATACAATGAACCACCTGGACATTAGTGGCTCTGTGGGCACCTCTGTTGCTTCACTCCTCTTGGATTATGGGATTGAATCCCACTTATGATCCTTGTGTTTGCATGATTTCTCTTTGTATTCTCCTTTACTCCTGCGGTGCAAAGACAAGTATTGGGCTAGTTGACGTTTCTAAATTGCCTATACAGTGTATGTGCACCCATATTTGTCCTGTGATGGACTGACATCCTGGGCGGGGTGTCCCCCAGTCTCCTGTCCTGTGCTGCTTGGGACAAGCTCCAGGTCACCTTGACCGGGATAAGCGATTATAAGACAGATTGATATGGGACCACAGAACTCTTATCTTTATCTGTGTTAAATTATTTTGAGTTATGTTTTCTCGTAACGTTTGCGTACGTTTGTGTTCGCCGTCAGATCTGTGTGGAGAAGTGTCCAGACCGCTTTATTGCTCTGATGCAAGCCCAGAAGACGGTGGATATGGCTTACTACAAATCGTACTGCGTGGGAGACGTGGATGTTTCCAATATGGTGAGCGTTGTTTATGAATGCAGGAAGAGGCGGCGGCTGGGAGCACAGGAAAGAACCGACTTTCTTTTTTTGTTTAACAATGCTGGATATGTGTCTGTGTGTTTAGGCAGCGACGGAAATCCTGAAGGACGGGCTTTGTCCCTCGATGCTCCTTCCCAGCAAACCCGGTGAGTGACATGCTGCTGGCTTAGATGCTGATCAATCAAGCAAGCGTTTAAACCACCACTACACTCCAGCAAGAATGGGTGTTGGGGTGTCAGGTCTTGACAGTCGTTGACATCTTTCTCTGTCCCTTGTCCTGTTAGTGACCCGCAGGTGCTTCCCTGCTTTTGGCGAAAAGAACGGAGTCCTCGTCGTGGGCAACAACACCCAATTCAGTGACCAACAAGGGACAACCATAAATGCCGTTGACCTTGTCAATGGTGCCAGGTTGGTCTGGGATGTTCTGGTAAAATGCTTTAACCACTTGAAGAGGGCAAGGTTTCGTATGTCTTGGCAAACTTCACTTTTGTAACCATTTATGCTTATATATGAACACTGAGGTAAATTGTCATTCAGCGATAACTGTGGCTAAATTGTAACGTTCTCAGAGCACTAGGTCAGTCCATGTTTCTACAAGCTTCCGATCTGGTGCAAATGCTGTTTATTCCTGTGGTTTTCGTAGGAATGCTACAATAGTTAAAGAGGCCCGACAACTGGCCATGAAGATCTTCCAAGATTACACTCAATCCTGGTACTGGATACTCATGTGAGTGGTTGATGCCTGCCCCCCCCACCCCCCTCTTCAGTACTGAGACACCCACAACTTCCTCTCTGTTATATCGGTCTCTGTATTATTCTCTCTGTATTATTTTGGTAGCAGTGTATGTATGTTGACCTGTATGTGCCTGCCCTTCATCACAGTGGGTTGGTGGTGGCCATGATAATCAGCCTCGTCTTCATCGTTCTCCTGCGCTTCCTGGCGGGAGTGATGGTGTGGGTTATGATCGTCATGGTCATCCTGCTCATCGGCTATGGTACGCTTCCCGAGTCATTGCTGTATTTGGATATGTTGTTTGGGGGGTGGGGGTGACTTGTGTGTTTTATACCTCGTTCCCCCTGTTATGTGCCACGCCCAGGCATCTTTCACTGCTACATGGAGTACGCCAGCCTGAAGGACCAGCAGGGAGCCAACATCACCCTTAAAGAGTTGGGCCTCCAGACTGACCTCACCGTCTACCTGCAGATCCGCCAGACGTGGCTGGCCTTCAGTGAGTCTTGCATGCAGATCCTCAAGAGAAGCCCAATTGTCGCGTCGGCACTAATAGGCCGTCGGTCCATGTGAGACCCCTAGCCTGGATGGCGATTGGGTGGCTTACCTGTCAGTCACTTTTGCCTGATGAGGACGCCCTCTTTTTCTCACCCGCCCTCCAGTGATCGTCCTCTGCATCGTGGAAGTGGTCATTATACTCCTGCTGATTTTCCTCAGGAAGAGAATCTGTATCGCCATTGCGCTCATCAAGGAAGCCAGCAGGTCTGTGCTCATATGGGCGACCTCATACATTTGATTTTTGAAGTTACAAAATAAACCAGCTGCTGATGGTTTGTGCTTGCAGGGCCATTGGCTATGTGATGTCATCCCTCTTCTACCCTCTCTTGACCTTTGCCCTACTTGCGGTGGTGATCGCGTACTGGGCTGTCACTGCCATGTATCCTTCGCGGGTTCTGAAAGCGTAATGCGTTGCCGTTCCCTCAATACACATTCCGAGGATTTATTTGGGAGCAGTGGACGACAGACCGCTAGTGAATTGTGTTAGCGTTATGTAACTACAAATAATGAATCCTTTCACCATGCTGTCAGGGAGTGAACCGGACGTGCGTTTTGAAGGCTTCATAGCAGGCGTGCAGCATTTACAGACGCATGCTTTCGAGTCCCTCTGAGTTCCTTAGTTACGCTGGCCAGCTTCCTGTCCACTTCCAACGAGGCGGTCTATAAAGTGTTCAACGACACGGCGTGCAGTTACTCTCGGCAGACCTGCAGTCCGGAGGTGAGTGCGGACTGACCCTGTGTTGTGGGCCACGCTGGTGTGAGACTGCGGTGCCGATTTGACCGGAGATTAACCTTGGAAGTTACCCTGTCTCTTTTCCAAACAGAACTTCAGCACTTCTCTGGTCAAAGCCACGTGTCCCAGCGCCAAGTGCCTGTTTGCCTTTTACGGGGGCGAGAGTCCTTACCACAAATATCTGATCGTGCTTCAGTTCTACAACCTCTTCCTCTTCTTCTGGTGTGCCAACTTCGTGACGGCACTGGGTCAGATGACCTTGGCTGGTGCCTTTGCCTCCTACTATTGGGCCTTCAAGAAGCCGGATGACATGCCTGCATTCCCCATATTCGCATCCTTGGGCCGAGCACTCAGGTACCGTGCCGTAGTGGGCAGGGATCAGACGAACATGTCCCATAAATAAGAACCGCGGAAATGCAGTGGATGGGACTTGCGTGTCTGACACTGGATCTCTGTGTCCGCGTCTCTAACACCTTCAGGTACCACACTGGCTCTCTTGCCTTCGGTTCCCTGATCCTGGCCATCATCCAAGTGATCCGGGTTCTGCTGGAGTACCTGGACCACAAGCTGAAAGGTTCCCGATGACACCATATTATTTGATGTTCACTGCTTGGATTCGGAAAAATTTATGAAAATAATCAGGCATATCATATGGGCTTCAGGGTTGCTAGGATTGTTCTGGGAATTTCCATTTTCTCTCTCCCCATAATCCACCCCCTTCCCCCCTCACAGGAGCCCAGAACAGATGCGTGAAGTTTCTGCTTTGCTGCCTGAAGTGTTGCTTCTGGTGCCTGGAGAAGTTCATCAAGTTCCTCAACAGAAATGCTTATATCATGGTATGTTTAGCCATCACCGGCCACGATATGCTGGGCCTTACTAGTGATCTTATTTCCCTCTAGCAGATGCATCAGAGTCCCACTAACAAACGCCTCCCAAATACAGCTTCTTCCCGATAGTTGTCAGGCCATTAAACAATTCGGTTACCTAACTGTACCTCATACTGGATTTCTGTAAATACATATCTGTCCGAACACTAAGCAGTTAGTGTCATTGTTTATGAATAGCACAATATGTACCAAACCCACTTGTGAGACAAAAGTTTATTTACCATTCAGGAATGTTTTTAGGTGGTGTCTTTATTAACTGCCATGAACGTAACCCTAACCCTAACCCTAAACCTAACCCTAGCATGCGTAATGTCTCTTGTTCACCGTAGGTGGCGTTATATGGTAAAAACTTTTGCACCTCGGCGCGGGACGCTTTCTTCCTCCTGATGAGAAACGTAATCAGGTGGGAGTCCGGAGGTGCTAGCAGGCAGTCAGGGGTGAGGGGGGGGTGTCACTGCTGTCATCCTTTGAGTTTACTGATTCGGGCGTCTCTCTGGCTGCTCAGGGTTGCTGTGCTGGACAAAGTAACGGACTTCCTGTTGTTTTTAGGCAAGCTTCTTATTGTTGGAGCCGTGGGTAAGTAATTTTGAGGGCTATGTTATTGTTTCCTGGTTATTGTATGCAGTGATATTACTGATGTCTGTGGTAATTAACTCAATTACTGTCAGATGCTGTTGCTGCATTTTTTTTTTCTTTTTTCTCCAGGGATACTTTCTTTCTTCTTCTTCTCCGGGAAGATAAAGGGAACTGACAATGTGGTGCCACATCTCAACTATTACTGGGTTCCCATACTGGTGAGTCAGAGAGGTTGTGGTCTGGATTGATGATTATCCACAAAGGTCAGGGGCAGGGCTGTCCGTTTCAGTGGAAATTCTGAGGATCAAATGGTTGTAGGTGTAAATGACTGTAAACACCCAGAATATATATATTTTTGGGTTTGGGAATTAGCAGATGTGTGTGTGTGTGTGTGTGTGTGTGTGCATGCTTGTGCGCATGGGTTTGTATTTACCACATTGTGGGGACCAAAACGTGGTGGTACTTAGCTTGTGTGGACATTTTTTCAGGTTCTCACAATATAAACCTTGTATAACAATCTGTGAAAACAATAAACTAAGAATGCCAAAGGTCTTGTAACATGTTTTGTTACTTATAGTTAAGTTTACTGCTGGGTTAGGGGTTAAGCTCGTCATTGTCGGGATTAGAGTTATACTCATAGGAATGAATGGAGAGTCCTCACAATGACAGGAGTATATGAACTGGGTGTGTGTGTGTGTGTGTGTGTGTGTGTGTGTGTGTGCGGTGGGACACTGCTGTCGCTTCACTGACCATGACCCTGTCTCTTTCTCCCCAGACACTGGTCGTGGGCTCCTACCTTATTGCACATGGTTTCTTCAGCGTTTACGCCATGTGTGTGGACACACTCTTCCTCTGTTTCTGTGAGTAGGACCAAAACGAATCATTCTGAAGTGCACATATTTCACTTAGTGGAAGAATGCTGTCACACTTCTGCAAATGGAACCCGAGAAGGCAGATTTAAGGAGAGGGTGACCTGATGGTGTTTTAAAGATGGAAAGATGGACCATCCCAGCCTGCTTCATGTTATCTCACACTAATTGCTTCTGCTTATAATTTCCTGTTTTCCAGATCTCTGTACCACACTAACTCAGTAACACTTCCTAAATATGTCACTTGTTGGTTCTACTGCAGCTTTTCTCTGACTTGTATCTCTGTCTGTTTTTCCCCAAACCTCTACCTCATCCTTCCCCTTGCCTCCTTTACCCATATCAACCCAACGGGTCGACCTCCTGTGTGTTCTATCCCACATCTGACTGCTGCCCCTCTACTACGGATTAACCCGGCTGCTCATTCGGCACGCAAATGCGCACGCGTACACATGCACATGCTCAAACACGCGCAAAAACGCTTACGTAAGGCGAGGACCTGGAGCGAAACGACGGCTCCGAAGAGAGGCCCTATTTCATGTCCCCGAAGCTGCGTGACATTCTCCTTGAGGGCGGGGCACCCACGGATGAGAAGGGAGAACGGGATGGACAACGAGAGGAAATGGCTTCCCGGCCCGAGCATCTAGTCAGCGGTGGTGCAACTGCAGTCACATCTGGGTCGATCGCCCCAGAGCCACGGCAGACTTGATCGAACACGTCTCGGCCGTGACGAGGAGCTCTGTGAACATTCCTTCATGCAAAGCGCCGTGGGACCTACAACGGCTGCAGGGGCTCCTCTGGATAGCGGCTGCTGCTTTGAGTTGGCTGTAATTCGGCAAATGTAGAGTGAGGAGAGATGTGCATTCGCTCCTGTGCACAAGAAAAGGCTGAAATTTGAGACATCTGGCCAAGAACTGGGAAAAGCCCCAAATGGCATTGGGTTATGGGTCATGCATGTGCTCGACTGCGTTAAAGAGCAAAAACCAGGTGCAACGCCTGATGAGTGTGAGCCATCTGTCCTGCTTTAAATAAATATGTGCAAGGGAACTCCTTCTGTCATGTTTACAGTCTGAAAGCTGAACACGGACGTACACTGTGTGTTATTCTTCATGCTATGCTGGTAAAACTAATTTTCAGTTAGTGGGAATCTGAGTTTTTTGTTGGTGCCATTCTTTCAGCAGTGCTGTACAGAACAGCTTGTTTAGAAAAAATGCGACAGACAGACTTGCCTTGAAAGTTGCGACCTCTGGTTGGCGCCGGGACTCGGGAATCGGCATGCCTTCAGCTCTTTCTGTTGCATGCGGGTGACTGTGCTTCTAATGCCTTATTAAAACACCCAGTTTGTTGGCTGCCTTTCCCTACCTACTGCAATTATTTGTGACTCCCTGAAGGTGGGGGCTGGCGGGGCGGGGGGGGGGGGGGGGGGGGGGGTACGATAGTTTCCTTTTCCACCTTGGCGTTCCTGTGAGTCTGGTAGGTGCCCAATCCTGTAAAAATACACTTGGGTACTCGGCCCGATTCACACCTTAAAGGGCATGACTGATAGAGTTGCCTGCGGTAAGTTCTTCTCATTAGCATGCGTTTGTGCTGCCGTTTCCGTTCTGCCTGACCAATGATGTAACTGTATCCCACTCTGATTCTCCACCCCTTGCCTCCTACACCCTTCCTACCGCCTTTGTTCACCCCCTCTACTCTTTTTTTGCAACTCTGCCCCCCCCCCCCCCCCCAGTGGAAGACCTGGAGAGGAATGACGGCAGTCCGGAACGTCCTTACTTGATGTCCGATAACCTTCTCAAAGTGCTCAAGAAGAAGAACAGCAGTGCGGAGGGCCAGTGAGGGGAACGGCCCGGAGTGGGTGGCACGGCTCCCAGTTACGGGGGGCGGCTCCTCGCTGCATGGCTGCCATAGGATTCGTTTGGTCTCCCATCTCAAGAACTGCCTCTTCTCCAAAGATGTAAGTGTCCTTTTGGGCACAGTGACGCTGGATAGTTAAGTAATTGTCTTTTCTTAAAATATACTGCACATTAGTGAAGGTTTTTGGGAGTCTGTATATAGCCAGGAAAATGTTTTCTATAAGCCTATGCAATGTAGAAGCAATATGAGCCAAACCTATCTACCGGGGGAGCAAGAACGTGGACCGTCTGCGGCTGCCCGAGGACCGGAAAACAAAGAAAAGAACAATCTGATCATTTTATCCATGACACAATGCTGTTTTTATACAAGGATCGTGAGGTTTTCTGGTTTTTTCCCACCAGATAAGTTACATAACCACTGCCAGGTCATTATTTTATGATACTTGGATTCATCAGGTTTTACTTGAGCTGTAGGTTTTTTGCTGGATGGACACATTTTTAACCATTTCCTAAGAAGCATTATACTATTGTCAAATAATTTGTAACTTGCTTCTAGTGCTATGCAATTTGTTGGAATAAATGCTAACATGGAATACCAAACATTTATATATAAATGTATGTTACTTAGGTAACTTTAAATTTTTTTCCTTTTTTTACCAGTGTGTTTTGTTGGTTTCAGTACAGTGGCCTGTAAGTTGTTGTGTTAATTCTGATATAAAAATTTTAAATAAATTTCTACATACCTTCAGTATCTGGAATTGCAAAATTGCCACTTAATCTTCTTGCTATAGTTCTATAACACTCGGTGCAGATGAAGCAGGTTTGGCTGTTGATCACGGGTCAGATCTGCGCAGTGAGAGTGGTTCTTGCTGTGCATTTTAGAATCCAGCTGAATTTTAAATGCACTCTGTCGCTTGGATAACAGCTAGAAGCATTTTGGCTTCTTGACAAGCGGCTGCTTTGGATCGTCAGTGATTAACTTAGAGCTGTTATCTTCTAGGCCCAAACTGAATGGGCTGCAGCTTCCACGTGTGTTTAATGTGTAAGGAATTTCCTTCTGAGGTTGCGGGGTGGGGGTGGGGGTGGGGGGGTCACACAGATTCCTCACTTTCTACAATAAGGATTCAAATTGTGGGATTTGCATGTTTTTTTTTTTTTTATTATTGTGTGTGTGTGTGTGTGTGTGTGTCACCCCATTTAGGATGTCTTCCTGCCTTGCATCTTGTGCTCTTTGGGATAGACTCTATCCCCCATTCTGCTCCAATCAACAAAAAGTTGTGACATCATGACAGTGGGGGTGGGGGTACCTCAACGGTACTTTGCTGGCCAGGGACTTTAACCAAGAGTCTTTCAATTCCAAGTGGCATCCCTAACCATTAGGCCACCTATATACTGTATGTACTATACTATACATATATGTACTGTAATGTCTCCGGCCTACGACTGTGTATCCAGCGCAATCGCCCTCAACACGGGAGCTCCGCAAGGCTGCGTCTCCGGCCTACGACTGTGTAGCCACACTCAGCTCAGATTCCTACGTGAAGTTTGCTGACGACACAGTAGTGCTCGGCCTCATCTCCATGATGATGAGTCGGCCTACTTGAAGGAAGTGGAGAACCTGGAAAGCTGGTGCCAGCATAACAGCCTCCAGCTGAACGTCAGCAAAACAAAGGAGCTGCAGTGGGTGGTCAGAGGAGCTGAGCGCTGCACCAGATCTGCCTGGCCCTCCCTACAACAGCCGCTGCAGGCCCAGAGCAATAAAGATCTCCAAGGACCCCTCCCAGCCCAATAACACTCTGTTTTGCCTGCTGAGTTCAGGCAAACGCTTCCGCATCCTTATGACCAGAACGGGAAGGTCAAGGAGGAGCTTTTTCCCCCAGGTCATAAGGCTCCTAAACCAGGACAATACTCAGTGCCTCTAGGTGCTGCTTCACACTGTCCAAATCGTTGGCACATACCTCAGGCCTCTTGCACATTGCACTTAAATTGCACAGCAAAATATCTCTTACTTATCACTTATGTATAGATATATATACACACACGCACACACACTATACTGGCCCATGTATAGTACATATTCCGTATGAAAACCACAGGCTTGAACTTTGGTGCCCTCTTGTGATTTGCTGTGATACTGTCCTGAATTGCACTGAATGTATTGAAACATAATTTTTTTTCTTTTGGAAACGGCTCGCGTTTGGTTGGTTGTTTCCGCATCCAAACTAAACCTGCTTAAATGGCAGAAAATTAATTCGTTTAAAATTAATTCTAAAAATCTATTTCAGCTTGTAATTCTCTCCCCACCACAAGGTGGAGACATTAATGTTCATGACACCCTTTTTTGAATTGAACTTAAACCTCATTCAGTCGGGTACATTCTTAGTATTTGTTTTTCTGCATATTGTTGCTGGTGCAAAAACATGATTCTCTTTTCATTACCTGTGGTAATATTACCAATGCATTTGACATGCCCAAGTGAATTACAATCAGCCCAAATATGGAAACAAGAGCAGCTATTGAAAGACATTGTAGGTTTAAATGATTTGTTCTGTACATAATTTGGAGTTGTCATTTACCCTCACTGAGCACTTGATTAGTAACACTATACTATCACTAGGCAAGGCCTCCCTTTGCTCAAAAACAACCTCAATTCTTCGTGCCATGGATTCCACAAGATGTTGGAAACATTCCTTAGAGATTGTGGTCCATGATGTCATGATTGCATCACTCAATTTCTGCACATTTTTCAGCTGCACATCCATGCTGCCAATCTCCCACTCTACCACATCCCAAAGGTTGCACTGGATTCAGGTCCGGTGCCTGTGAAGGGCAATAAAAACACTGAACATGTCATGAAACCGGTTTGCGATGACACTTGCTTTGAGCCATTAGAAGACGGGAAAATTGTGGCCAGGGAGGGACGAGCAATGATACTCAGGAAGGCTATGGCATTCGAGGGATGGTGGATTGGTATTAATGGCCTAAAGTGTGCCAAGACAACACCCCCCATACCATTACAACAGCCCCCCAGCCTGGACTGCTGACAAGGCAGACTGTCTTCATGGATTCACGCTGTCGATGCCAAATTCTGACCCCACCATCTGTGTGCTTCAGCAGAAATCGAGTTTCTTCAGACCAGACTGCAGACAAGCTACCTGGTTTTGCTGAGCTTGTGTCCGCTGCAGCCTCAGCTCTCTGTTATTCATAGACAGCAGTGGATCCTGACACAGTCTCATCCACCACAAGGTTAGATTTGGTTTGACATTCTAAGGCCCTTTTCTGCTCACCACAGTTGTACAGGGTAGTTATCCGAGTTACTGTAGCCTTTCTGTCAGCGTGAAGCAGTCTGGAGATTCTCCTCTGACCTCTCTCACCAACAAAGCGTTCCCTTCCGCAGAACTCCTCCTCACTAGCTACAGAATTACGCATTACCAGCCGCCTGGCACCAACAGTCATGCCACTGAGATCACACTTCCTGAAGTGTGTTTGAAGTGAACTTCAATTGAAACTCCTGACCTGTGTTTGCATTTTTTCATGCATTGCACTGCTGCCACACGATTGGCTAATTAAATAAATGCACAAATAGGCAGGTGTACAGGTCTTCCTAGTAAAGTTCTCAGTGAGTGTATGTCTAATGTTCCAGGATGGTTTAAGACGATTGTAATCAGCAAGTCTTCCAAAGTATAGTTCAACATGTTACTCGTTCTCAACTATTGAGAAACAAACTTCCTGTTTTTCTTTTCTTTCTCAGATTGCTAAAGTATGCAGACCAGGTGTGTTAGATAACCAATCACATACCTTTCGTCGTTTCGTCTGTTTTGTGTGGAGATTGCCACTAAAGTATTCTGTAAAACTTCCTCGGAATGACCATGAGAAGCTCACCCACCACCCGGCATGTGACTTTCTTGGCGTTGTGCAGTTATATTGAATTCTGTATTATGGCTTTAGGCCACAACTCTGTCATCGTGGTTGTGCATATTAGCTTCTTTCGCTGCTAAATTTAAATGGATGTTTATTTGCCCAAAGAGTAAAATTGTCAGAAGCGTATATGCACACAATTTTATTTAGAAAAACACAAACATTCTAGTTTCGGGATGGTGTAAGCTTGGCTTGGATCCATAGCTTAAACAGGTCGTGCTGATAATTTCTTTATTTATATTCAGGATATATTTCTGAATGGTGGTTCTGTGGGTAACAGTGTAGCCACACACCTGCAAACGTATGGGTCTGATGCCCTCCTTTTGTCTGTGTATGGAGTGTGTGGATGTTCTCCGTATGGTATCTTAGCTGCTGGTGCTCCAGTTACCTCCTGCAGTCCAAAGACAAGCAACTGGGCAAACTGGTGTCTATGAATCACCCATAGTTCTGAGTGTGTGCATGCATGAGCCTCTGATGGACTGGCATCACATACTAGGTGTACCCCAGCCTTATGTTGCCTGGGATGGACTCAAGGTCTACCCCAATGTCCCTGACTGGGATACAGAAGGTGGTTTGTAGCGGATGGGTGACAGGATTCTGATGTAACTGCAAACCCTGAGCTTCCTCACTATGAATTTCTGCCAGCATCTTCCAGCCTCTGCTGTGTGGTTGGAATTCTGGCTGAAATGCTTATCTGGCGCCTTGGTCGCCTGGATCATTTGGACAATTTGTTCGTGACGGAAGGTCGGCCAGACAAGTTTGCGAGGAACACGATGTTCCTACCGATTTGAAGATCAGCACTTTCAGGTCAGTTTGGAAAAATACTGTGGACAGGCATTTAAGGTGGGCTAAGAGAGATGGTATTCATCCTGATCTGCTTTTCACTGAAACAGATTAATAAAAACCTATATAACTTTGGGAAAAATAACTAGCTGAACAACAAAATCAATGCAAATTTATAAATTAAGTGTATATATGAAGTCATTCTTTTACTCATTTCTCTTTCCGCTTGCAGAAGATAAGTAAATAATTTGTCAGATGTGTTACTCAGTATGACATGATCAGCCACAGGCTGAGGAACGCAAGGTCTCTGTGTCCATGTTTACAAATAGCCTTTGGGTGTCGGGTGAACATGCTTGGGGTCAAGGGCGTGACTTTAGCTGGAACATTGTGGGGGGTTGTGGTCTCCACCCATTACGGGGGAAACATGATTATTGGGTGGGGGGTCTATTAACTGGTGTTGATTTATTGGGGGGGCTACAACCCCCCCATCCCTCCCGTAATTTACACCCATGCTTTGGGCATAAACCTTTCAGTCACCTCGATATGCAAGAAATCCAGCAGTAGTTACACAAAGTAACTGTCCGTCTGCACAGGGTAACTAGTGCAGCCAATTGTGTGCATCGGTAGGGAGCTGAGTCGGTGACTAAGGGGTAATAAGGTCAAATGGCCTTCCTGTACTTTCAAAAGTCATCAGCGATGTCTTACAGCTGGGACAGATAATTGGAATTCCCGTCATTCTTAGCACAGGTAACCTTCGGCAAAAAAGAGGAGTCAACGTGTCTTAATCTTGGACGATGATCTCCACCAGATTCTTCTGCGGTGAGTTGTCCTTTACTCATGTTCTTCGTAACAGCAGCTGAGCCTGCAAAAATATGGCGTGACGTCCGTTTCGGGTACACTATCTTTGCCAGGTATCGAAATTCAGGTTAATGGCAACAGGTGGTGCTGTTACCATTACATCACATTGGCAATCAAAGAACTTTCCACTCAAGACCAGAGAGAGGAGAAAATAAGTATTGTGGTCTTCTTGTGTAGAGAGGATGACAGTACAGGCGTGCATTTCGAATCTGAATTGCTATGTTTCATTTAGAATACGAAAACAACACTATCCATCCATCTATCCATCCATCCATCCATCCATCTATCTATCCATCTTCTAACCACTTATCCTGGTTATCATCCCAGGTGGCATAGAGCCATGTGCTGTATACCCTGGATGGGATAGCAGTCACTTTTCAAAATATCCCAGTTTATTTTCAGAAGCGTCATTCACATGAACACACTGGAAAGGAGACATTTGTGGAATCATTTGCCGTAAAATAACAAACTCAGCCTCTTTGTGTTCTTCAAACAACAGTCTTCCGAACTCAGCCAATAATACTAATGATAACAGACCTATCCAGCCCTGGCTTGTCTGTTAATGACATTATGCTTTATTTTTTTCTTTACCTAAGTGCTCGTTGGGCTCTGTTGATGATTCTGGATGAACGTTCCTGCCGTGTTTCGATGGAAAAGGTATGTTGTGTTCTTGAAGCCACATCTTATAGATTATAACCTGCAGGCAATTTAGGCAAATCACTGGAGCAGATCAAAGGAGCCGATAAATGGCTCAGTGCACACCATGCTAGCAGGGGGCAATCTACTCTTTTCTGTATTCTGGGTTCCGCGTATCATGTGTTCCGCGTATCATGGGTTCCGCGTATCGTGGGTTCCGTGTATTGTGGGTTCCATGTATTGTAAAGTGGCCGACCAGCCTGGACTAGTCTTCATTGTGCTAATCCACAATTGTCTCATACAACACAGTGTTTGGAGAAAAAAACAATAATAATTCACACCTGTGTTTGGCATTAATCAGAAGTCTGGATTCTTGCATCTGTCTGAATCTGGGGAATTTGGGCTATTTAATAATGTATAGTTACAAAAATGCTTGCCATCTTCCAAAACAGCGTGAGCCATACTTAATCCAGCGCTGGCTATTCTGGTGCATATCAAGCTTGGCTCCCATTTTTAGTAAATATGTAAATATGTGTTGTTTTACATATAGGTCACATAGATTAGTCTGAATAAATGGCAGGATAGATTCCATACCATAAATCCATGCTGTAATCTGTTTACTACACTGTATGTATAAAATCCCGACCTGGGGTCTGTTTCAGAAAGCAGGATTTCTTGCTTAGCTGAATAACTTGTCGGATTTAAGGTTGTCTGGGCTAAATGTAAGCGAATGAAGAAAAAGTCCATTTAAATACTTACTAGAATACTATAAGTGGAAATTAGTGGGAGAACATTTTAAAACAAATTTGAGGAAGCACTTCTTTACACAGCGTGTAGTTAGAGTATGGAATAGTCTTCCTGCTAGTGTAGCGGAAGCTAAAACCCTAGGTTCCTTTAAATCAGAGCTAGATGAGATTTTAACAACTCTGAGCTATTAGTTAAGTTCTCCCCAAACGAGCTTGATGGGCCGATTGGCCTCCTCTTGTTTGTAAATTTCTTATGTTCTTAAAATGGGGTACCGTAAATCCCAGTTATCCAGCTAAGTAAGAAATCCTGCTTTCTGAAACTGGCCCCAGATTGTCAGAATCTGAAGGAAAAATAAAGTGTCTATTATAGCATTTATGGTCATTCAGAGTTATGCATGTCATACAATGTTCCCCAATTATCACTGGAACGTGATCTGGTAGCTTAACCATTAAGGAACTGGACTTCATCAGATTAATTGGACATGTCCCAGAAGTCTGTCCATGTGTGTGAGTGCTAACCATCGCTGCTACTTTCCCTAACGCTAACCCATGCAAGAATTATAGTGTTATCATTGGCATGGGAAATCTGAGTATGGAAACACGCAATAATAGTTGTTCAAGGTCTCTAGATTCAGAGACTAGACAAGTGCTAGTATTGGAATTATTAAGTAAAGCTCTGGAAAAAATTGAGACCAAAGCACAATTTTTGTTTCACTCATGTCTTAGTTAATGCATCTGTAAATATATATATAATTCTCATTAATGAAGGGCTTCAGTCCTGCTTCTAGGAGCCTGATATGAACTGTCCTAGCAGTGCACTTCACGCCTGCACTGAATGCTACCTTTCCTTTTGAAGGTCACTTAATTAATTGGTGTCGTTCTACGATTAATGAGAAACTGTCGGATAAGTTGACGGTCATCTCTGGCATTAGAAAAGTCGCTTCCGCCCTTTACCTGACTGGTTTCTGGTCGTTCCCAGTGTCTCCTGCTTCACATCATTCTCATGCACTGCTGTCTTACAAACTTTGGAGGGCTCTTTTATTTTTTCTATAGCCGTGTATTTCATAAGTGATAGCGGTCTGTTATGTAACAGAGTTAATGTGAGGATGGGATGGCTCTGCCTAACGCGTGGTTACCTCGCAAGCTCATGGATCTTCCTATATTGAATACTGCAGCTTTAGATCATTCATAATAACAGGAAATCGTTACTCCAGAAGGGAGTCTAAGTGTAGCTTAGTGTTTGTAGATCTTCAGGAAAAGCAATAGATTCATAAAATTCCAGGGTTATAAGAATCACTATCATATGGCTGCAGCATTGCAGTCACACAGATGAGCGCGTGTCTTTGGTATGATGCTGGTGTAACACGCAGAGGCGGCTCGTCACGTGGCTTGTCTGGCTCCAAGGCTGTCACTGATGTATGTCTTTCACAAAAAAAAGTCAACAAGTGGCATTCCATTGGGTATTTGCTCATTATATCAGAAAATATGTCAACAAAGTCACCCCATACTGTAACACCATAAGATGAATGTAAAAAACAGAAGCGCTCAATACAGTAAATGTCATTGTCCGTGCACATTAATATATCCAAAACGATCTAATATATATTGATATATGTAAAACGATCACGGAAAACATTTCTTAACAGGAGTAGGACTAAATTGCGATGTCATTTTATAATCTTCTCTCATTCACCTTTTCGCATCACTTTTCAAAAAAAAATAAAAATTCTTACACAGAGCATAGATATATTAACATCCTCCCGAGCTTCAATTTCAAACAGTTTCTCAAATCCTCTAGGATTATACATCGGACCAAATGTTGCCGGCTCGTTTTTGACGCCTCCCACTGCCTGCTCAAATGGGGCGTCTTATTCATCGAAAGGACTGCAACCACAAGCAGAGACAGAAACTTCTCAGAAATCGCGACATATCATTTTGGCCAGGAGATCTGTTTTGTTTTATTTTCGGAGGACAGCCGGAAGAAAACCAATCTACAATTGCATACTTCAAATGACATTAATAAGAAGTTGTTTGCGCTTATATAGCTGATTTCTGATTTAGAAACTGGATTTTTGGACTTGAAACGTAACATCCATTCAATCAACGTACCGGAATCTATAGAAGATGGGAAAATATGAATTGACGATGGTAACAGTCTTAAGTTTCTTTACTTGTCTGTTTATGGAAATGCTTACTTATGACGACAACAGTAAATTATAATTGTCATTTATACATAATGTTTGCTGAGTTTGAGTTTGAGTACTGCTTGCAACAATGTAAAAACACAAAGAGGTTTTAGTATTTCATTCAAGACACTTATTTAAGTCATTCCCAGAGAATCGTGGACCATGGTTCGGTGGGCATAGAGATATAGCAAAGTATTTTTTGTGTACGTCAGAAAGATTTGAATCCTGTAGCGTCCAAATGCTGCTGACGTCAAGTTTTAGCGCGTGCATATTCTTTCGTACATTTTTTGCAGCGATCAGCCGGCTGCCAAGGCTGACTGTCGTGGCTTGCTGTATTAATGAGAGCATTGCCCTTTATCTGAAATTGCATCAGCTAGCCTTGAGCCTGAAGGTTTTCCTATTCCAGGACTGCACCTTCAGAGAACAGCGCAGTGCTGCATGGGATCTTCGCAGCAATGTCACATGCCTCGCGAAAATAACAGGCGTCTTAATAGTGGCGTCTCCGTGTTCCGTCAGTATGCCTTAGGCCGTCATTGCCATTTCATTTGTAGATCGTAAATCATTACCATACCCGCTGCCAGGTCATGTAAAGTTGGGGCCGCTGGAACAATGAGAGCACTTCTTATATTCCTATATCATAAATCCTTATTGTGAATACTGTTTTTCCTAAGTCACTCACAGGACTGAGTGTTCAGTCTGCACTAGCCTAAACACAGGCTTATTATGAACTCAGCCTGTAAAATGACAAACACTGAGCTCTGATGTTTTTATTAAGCTCTGTTATTGTTAATTGTAACATTTACGTGATAACATTTCTCGCCAGTGGAAGTATGTATAAGTGTTACTATTTTGTTTGTTTTTACTCATGCTCTACTAATTGTTTAAATGTGAAAATGTTACATTACTCCTGCATAAAGTACACCTGCTCAGTAATGAGAACAGCCAGCTCCCAGAAGCAGTGAATCATGTGACTGGATCTGCATATAAAGTGCGCAGGCTGGGTCAGGTCGGTCACTTACTGTGCGGCTGAGCACTGGAGCAGCTATGACGTGTGATATAAGTGGCTTTATATGTGGTACGATTGTAGCAAATGTAGTTGTTCCAATGTCTCAGAAACAGCCTCCCTCGTGGGATTTTCATGCGCTACAGTGTCTGCAGTTGACGGAGAACGGCGTGATAAGCCAGCAAAACAGTCGATGGCAGTCATTTAAGAGAACACACCTTGCTAATGAGAAGGTCTGAGGGAAACAGCCAGGGCCCGGCTTCCCGAAACCTTATGAACGCTGCGTCGCTCTTAAGTTTTATCTTTTAACACAGAACTTACAAACGACGTAGTGTTAAGAAGGTTCAGAGAAACTGGGGCCCGGAACAGTGAAGCAGGAAGATCACAGGTGCAAAAATAACAGCTCAGTAGAAGTGAAATGGATGAAAGGGCTCCCCTGAAATCAGACCTTGCTTATCCTTAAAGTGGTTACAGAAACAAAAGAGGGTCCCATCCAGCCCTACATATGCTTAATACTCAGTAAAACAGCTACTCAGTGTCGACCGGATACCCTGTGGCAGAATCAGTTTAAGTAGCAATAATTATGATGATTCACTTTTCAGTTTATTATAGTTGTCACACATGATTTCTCTGTGCAGATTAGTTTCAGGAACTCTACCTAGAACCTGGACATTTATAAGGTTAAATAATTACCTGGGAGCGGAGTAGCGCAGATTAATGACGCTTGGAGCGTAATGTTTTGTTCACTTGGTTTGTATGTGCTCTCGTCTTCAGCTGCAAATCAGATCCAAATGTTTGCCTTTATAAAACCACTTTTCTACTAGTTCCTGCCTGTTTGTCTGCCTGTTAGGGGCTTTGCCTGTCCCAAACAAGCCTCACCTTGGGGCTCAGAGCAGCCCTGTACTATTTGTGGCGTTGCAAACATGCCCATTTGAGGGATCTTTCGGTGATGTCACTTCGCAAAGGCCTTTTTTAAGAGGACTAGCTGTTTTGTACTTTGTTTTGGTTTTTGGTTAATGCCTTTGCTCTGTACTTCATCTGTCTGTGTCAGTGACTGCGTGCTGTATTGGCATGTGTTGACTTGAAT